CCATCAACTCATGAGTGGACAAAGAAAACGTGGCATATAAGGCCAAACGCAGTGGCTCACACCCGTAATCCCAGCACTTTGGGAGGCCGAGGTGGACAGATCACCTGAGGTCAGGAGTTCAAGACCGGTCTGGCCAATATGGTGAAACCACGTCCCTACCATAAAAACAAAATTAGTGCGACTTGGTGGAGGATGTCTGTAGTCCCAGCTGTTTGGGAGGGTGAGGCAGGAGAATCACTTGAACCCGGGAGGTGCAGATTGCTGTGAGCTGAGATTGTGCCACTGTACTCCAGCCTGAATAACAGAGTGAGACCCTGTCTCAAAAATCTAAAATAAAATAAAGAAAATGTGGTATAGATACACCGTGGAATACGACTCAGCCATTAAAGGGAATGAAATAATGTCTTTTGCAGCAATTTGGGTGGAGCTGGAGGCCATTATTCTAAGTGAAATAACTCGGGAGTGAAAAAACCAAATATCCTATGTTCTCACTTACAAGTGGGAGCTGAGCTACGAGCACACAAAGGCATGCACAGTGATACCACGGACTTTGGGAGCTCAGAAGGTGGGTGCTGGGAGGGAAGCCAGGGATAAAACCCCACATATTGGGTACAGTGTACACTGTCTAGGTGAGGGGTACACTAAAATCTCAGCAGACCACTAACCATTCATCCAAGTAACAAAAAAACCTGTGCCCCAAAAGTTATTGAAATAAAAATTAAAAATAAATAAATAAAAAGAATGAATGAAAAACCTGCAGCCAATACCATATATGCAGGCAGCTGAAAGTTTTCACCCTAAGAAGAGGAGCAAGGGAGTCCACTCTGACCATTTCTGTTCAACATAGGACTGGAAGTCCTAGCCAGAGCAATGAGGGAAGAAAAAAAAATAAAAGGCAACCAAATCAGAAAGGAAGAAATGCAGTGCTTTCCAGCCACAGATGACATCAACCTATGTATAGAAAATCCTACAATTCAACAAAACCTTCTCAAAGCTAACAAACAAATTAACCAGGGTTACAATTGAGGATCAAAACTAAAAAAATGTAGTTTTTGATTAGAAAGTTGTATTTCTATATATTAGCAGAGAAAAATCTGAAAAAAAATATTAAGAAAACAACTCCAAGCTTGTCACAGTGGTTCATGTCTGTAATCCCAGTACTTTGGAAAGTGGGAGCATCACTTGAGCCCAGGAGTTCAAGACCAGCCTGGGCAACATAGAGAGACCTCATCGCCACAAAACAAAACAAAAAGCACAAAAATGTAGCCAAGCGTGGTGGCACTACTCAGAGGCGGAGGCAGGAGAACCGCTTGATCCTGCGAGGTGGCAGTGCAGTGAGCCTGGATGGTACCACTGCACTCCAGCCTGGGCGACAGAGCCAGATACTGTCTCAAACGAAAAAAAAAAAGGAAAAGAAAGAAAAGAAAATGATTCCATTAATAATAGCATAAAAAAGAAAACAAGTACTTAGGAATACATTAACCATTGAGGTACACAACTCATACCCTGAAAACTACAAAACATGGCTGAAAGAAATCACAGAAGCTGGGCACAGTGGCTCATGTCCTGTTGTCTGAACACTTTGGGAGGCCAGGGCAGGTGGATCGCTTGAGCCCAGAGGTTAGAGAACAGTCTGGGCAACATGGCAAAACCCCATCTTCACAAAACATACAACATTCAGTGGCGCATGGTGGCGCACGCCTGTAGTCCCAGCTACTTGGGAGGCTGAAGTGGGAGGATTGCTCGAACCTGAGGCTGCAATGAGTGCGGATCAGGCCACTGCACACCAGCCTGAGCAATGAGTGAGGCCCTGTCTCAAAAAGAAGAAAATTAAGGAAAAAGACCTAAATAAATGAAAAAATAGAAAGATCCTGAGCTCCTGGATTAAAGGACTTAATATTGTTAAGGAGGCGATACTCCCCAAGGCAGCCTACAGAATTAATGCAATCCCCATGAAAATCCCAACGGCCTTTTTTTTTTTGCACAAATGGAAAAACCACTTCTAAAATTTATATAGAGTTGAAAGGGACCCCAAATAGCCAAAACAGTCTCTTTTTCCTGCCCCCCACAAACAATCTGGAATCTTAAACAAAGTTGGAAAACTTACTCTTCCCAATTTCAAAACATACCACAAAGCTACAACAATCAGAATAGTGTATTATTGATGACGGGACATACAGACCAATGGACTGGAATTGAGAGTCCAAAAATAAACCTACATATCTATGGCCAATTGATTTTCAACAAGGGTGCTAAGACCATTTGATGGGAAAAAGAACAGTTTTTTCAATAGAAGGTACTGGAATAACTGAATTTCCATATGCAAAAGAATGTGGTTAGATTCCTACCTCATACCTTACACAAATATTAGGTCAGACACTTCAAAGTACAGATGAACTATTACGTTCTTAGAAGAAAACATAGATGTGAATCTTTGTGACCTTAGGTTAGCGATTTCTTGCTTCAGTATGACATCTAAATAAGTTGGATTTCACTTATTAATACACAAATTTAAAAATTTTGTGTATCAAAGGACATCTCAGGAAAATGAAAAAACCTACAAGATGAGAGAGAACTATTCACCAATTATACCTCTGATGTGCGCCCAGTATCCAGAATATATAAAGAACACTCACAATTCAGCAACAAAAACACAAAGAATTCAATTTAAAAATGAGCAAAGGTCTTGACTAAACATTTCAAAGAAGGTCTAAAAATGGCCCCAAAGCCCATGAAACAGTGCTTGGTGTCATCAGTCATCCGGGAAGCACAAACTGAAATCAGGAGGTTCAACGTCATGCTCGAGGTTGGCTAGAAGTGAAAAATACAACCCCAGAAAACAGTGTGTCAGTGAGGATGTGGAGAAGCCCGAACCTTCAGACAAAGCTGGCAGGAACACAAAATGGCACAGCCGCTGTGGAAAAGAGTGTGATGGTTCCAGCCCATTGCAGCATTCACCTCCCAGGTTCAAAGTGAAACAGAATTACCTTGTGGCCCAGCAATTCCACTCCTAGATACAGACACCAAAAGGTGTGAAAACAGGCGTTCAGACATACATATGTCCAAGAAGGCCACAGCAGCATTACTCACAGCAGCCAGAAGGTGGGGACCACACTCATGTGCATCTGCTGAAGAATGAATAAACTAGAGTGGACCATCCATGAATGGAATATTATTCAGCCAGGAACAGGCATAAGTGCTGAAGCTGTCTGCAGTGCAGGCGAATCAACTGTCCACAGCTCAGTGAAAAAAGCCAGACGAAAAGGACAGGTATTTAGCGACGCCGTTTCTTAAACCCGCAGAGTGGCTAAGTCCCAGGAGAGAAGGCAGGCGGGTGGGTGCCAGGGGCTATGGAGGGGAGAGGAACGGGAACGGCTGCTGAAAGGGGCACAGGTTTCCTTTTTGAGTGATGAGGGTATTTTGGAACTGGGCTGAGGTGATGGCTGCCAGCTCTGTGAGTATACCAAAAGCTACTGAGTTGAATACTTTAAAGTTGTGGACTTTCTGTTATGTGAATTTCACTTCAACTTTTTAAAAAACATGCCAATTTTGTAATCCTGTGTCTGTTCTGTCTCTCTCTGTGTCTCTCTGTCTCTCTGTGTCTGTCTCTCAGTTTCTCTCTGCATGTCTGTCTGTCTCTCTTTCTATTTCTGTGTCTCTCTGTGTCTCTGTCCCTCAGTTTCTCTCTGCATGTCTCTGTGTCTCTCTATTTCTGTGTCTCTCTGTCTCTCTCTCTGTCTCTCTGTCTCTCAGTTTCTCTCTGTGTCTCTCTCTGTCACTCTGTCTCTCTTTCTATTTCTGTGTCTCTCTGTGTCTCTGTCCCTCAGTTTCTCTGAGTGTCTCTGTGTCTCTCTTTCTATTTCTGTGTCTCTCTGTCTCTCTCTCTGTCTCTCTGTCTCTCAGTTTCTGTGTCTCTCTCTGTCACTCTGTCTCTCTATTTCTGTGTCTCTCTGTCTCTCTTTGTCTCTCTATTTCTGTGTCTCTCTCTGTCACTGTCTTTCTATTTCTGTGTCTCTGTCTCTCTCTGCCTCTTTGTGTCTCTGTCTCTCTATTCCTCTGTGTCTTTATCCTTCAGTCTCTCTATTTCTGTGTCTCTCTGTCTCTCTCTCTGTCTCTCTGTCTCTCAGTTTCTCTCTGTCTCTCTCTGTCACTCTGTCTCTCTTTCTATTTCTGTGTCTCTCTGTCTCTCTCTGTCACTGTCTGTCTTTCTATTTCTGTGTCTCTCTCTATTCCTCTGTGTCTTTATCCTTCAGTCTCTCTGTCCCTCAGTTTCTCTCTGAGTGTCTCTGTGTCTCTCTTTCTATTTCTGTGTCTCTCTGTCTCTCTCTCTGTCTCTCTGTCTCTCAGTTTCTCTCTGTGTCTCTCTCTGTCACTGTCTGTCTTTCTATTTCTGTGTCTCTGTCTCTCTCTGCCTCCTTGTGTCTCTGTCTCTCTATTCCTCTGTGTCTTTCTCCTTCAGTCTCTCTGTCCCTCTCTGTCTCTCTCTCTGTGTTTGTCTGTCTCTGTGTGTGTGTCTTTCTCTCTCTGTCTTTCTCTGCATGGCCCTGTCTGTATCTTTCTCCATCTCTCTGTTCCTCTCTCTCTGTGTCTCTCTGTGTCTCTGTCTGTCCCTCTGTCTTTCTGTTGCTCTTTCTTCCCCAGGGTGTCCCCAAACTTCTCCCTTCTTGTGGGTCTTTAAGTTTGTGTATTTCCTCTGCAAGCCTGGCCTGTGCCCTGGCTCCTGGGAGCAGCCCCGCCGCTGGGGGTGGTGGGGCTTAGTCACCCTAAGAATGCCCGCTTTCCTCTCCAGGGAGCAGAAGGAGGAGGGGTACCTGAATGACCCCGCAGGCTCAGTCCTGCTCCGGCCTCAGACCATCCTCCCCAAGGTAAGCAGGAAAGACCACAGCGCCCGTGTGAGGCGCCGTTCCCTTTGTGCGCACAGGCGAGAATGCCAGGGCGCACCGGGCAGGAGGCTCCGTCCCGTTCCGGACTCTCCTGCCCTCCCCGAGACCACCCCGTACCTTTGTCCAGCACGGGCCCAAAGATGGCCAGGCTGTCGTGGACGGTGGTGCAGTTCCACCGGCGGCCTCGGAACTGGTGCTGGCACTCCTGGATGCCGATCTTGATGCCCTCGGCCACGCTGGGCATGATCTCCACGTAGTTCCTGCAGAAGCGCAGCTGCTTGGGGACCAGGCCCGGGATGCTGGCACACAGGATGGGCTGCGAGCCCAGGGAGGAGTACTGCGGCCCGACTGCCAGCGACCTACGAGGGCAAGAGCCGGCGGTGAGTGTGGCGCCGGACGGCAGCACAGGCGAGCAGGCCCCAGGCCCGCTCGAGGGCTCCAGCGCGTTTGGGGGGCCAGACGCAGCTTTCATCATAAAGGAAATCTGATTGTTTTATTTTGCAAGTAAGAGAATTTTTACTTAAAATCCTGATTAGAGGCTGGGTGTGGTAGCCTGTAATCCCAGCTACGCGGGAGGCTGAGACAGGAGAATTGCTAGAACCCGGGAGGCGGAGGTTGCAATGAGTGGAGATCGCACCACTGCACTCCAGCCTGGGCAACAAGAGCAAAATTCTGACTCAAAAGAAGAATCCCTGTTAAAGATCCTGTATGGCCTCTAAAATAATGTTTATAAACCATGCCTTCTAAATTTCTTTTGAGACAGGATCTCAGTCTGTTGCCCAGGCTGGAGTGCAATGGTGCGATCACGCTCCCTGCAGCCTCCAGATTTGCTGGGACTGCAGGGACACACCAGCATGGCCAGCTCACTTTCATTTTCACATTTTGCAGAGGCAAGGCCCTGCTATGCTGCCCAGGCTAGCCCCAAACTTCTGGCCTCAAGCGACTCTCCTGCCCGAACTTCCCAAAGTGCTGGGATTACAGGCATGAGCCCCCTTGCCCAGCCCTTAAGCCTATATGTTATGACACAATGCTGTGTGCTGAACAAACACTCAATGCTGGCTATTTCATTTTTTTCTAGATGTTTTGATATCATCCATGTGTTTTTCTACATGTCTTATCTGGAAGTCTGATTTTATGAGGAGGCCAGGACCCTGCCCTGCCCTGTCCCCAACACTCAGCTCAGAATCCAAGCTGTCCAGATCTGCAACAGGAAGCAACACAGCCCGAGGTTCCTGCCCCGCACAGCTGCGCGCCCCGCGTTCACACCAGGCTGACCTGGAGCCACTGGCAGACTCAAGGCTAAAGCCTAAGAACTCGGGCTGGGGACGGGGTCAGGTGGGGGCTGCCCAGAGGAGGGTGCCCTTGGCTCTGGGATTGGAGGAGGATACTTGGCTTCTGGGGCGTAGGGGTGACCCAGTGCAGAAATTGCTGTGAAACTCAGGACCATCCGGCCAGCCCACAGCCCTGCACTTGGCTCTGTACCCCCAGATGTAAACACGTGTCCACAATGAGACGTGTTCAGGAATCTTCCCAGGCCTTTGAGCCTGAGAGCAGGAACTTGGAAGCCACCCAAGCATCCATCAATAGGAGTGCGATTAAACACATGAAGGCCACCTCTAGGGTGCCATGCTGCTCGGAAACCAAAGGCCTGGGCTCTGGTGCGCACACAGGGAGGAGGGGCGCTCAACCGTGAGACGCTCCTGGGGCCCTCCGCACTACCCAGTCTGAGCCCAAGAGCAGGCAACACCCATCGGAGCGCGAGGTCAGCACCGTGGCCACCTCACTCCCCGGCTCCAGGTCGCAGCAGCTCCCAGTCTGTGCTCTGCTTTGGCGAAAGCCATCCCACACCTGTGCCTTTTAAATTGATGTAATTAAGTTTAAAATTAATTAAAATACAAGAAACGTAAAGTTCAGTCTTTCAGTGGCACCAGCCATGCTTCACCTGTGGCCCTGTGGCTCCCCTGAATGGGACAGTTAGACAGGGAATGTGCCTGTCGTCAGGGAAGCTGTGCCCGGCCAGCCTGGCTGAAGCGCTCTGCGTGTGCCCGGGATGCTGGTTACCTGAGTGCTTCACGTCAGAATGAACTAAGGACGGAGGGGCTTCCATTTTGCTGTACAAAATACACCTCAATTGGAAGGAATCGCCAGGTCCTTTTGGGTACCGGTGGAGGTGGGTGGAGGGTCAGAGGGTTCCTCAGTTACGACCACCTGTCAATGTGTCCACTGGATCCAACCAGTCTGGCCTCTGGACCGGACTCCCAGCGTTCAGCGTCCCCAGCACGTCCACACCCTGGAGGCCTGGCCTCCCTCTTCCTGGCCACGCTCCCTCCTGCCTGGCCCTCATCTGAGTGCATAACCTCGCACCAGACCCCATGGGCATCCCCAGCCCCCACCCAAGGTGCTTGCAGAGTGAGCTCCCCGCTCCCTCCCTCATTCATTCACTACACGCTCGCTCACTCCCTCATTCATTCACTGCACGCTTGCTCACTCATTCACTACACGCTCGCTCCCTCCCTCATTCATTCACTGCATGCT